TTTTCTCGCGGCGTGGAAAGCTTACGTATGACGTACTCTGTGCACGGAACGGAAGTAACACGGCGTGATGCACGACACGTCGCACGCGCGCGCGCGCTCTCTCTGTCTCTCTTTCTCACACACACACTCTATTTCTCCCTCTTTCTCTCTCTATTTCTCTCACGTGCGTGTGTGTATGTGTGCTGCGGTAAATCGTGTTCGTGCGTGTGAGCGTACACAACTGAGCGAGTGATCTGTGACGTCAGTGGTCCGATCGGTTGTCACTTGTCAAGTCAAACTTGTATTCCTCGAGTCTTACCTCGAAACTTTCTCACTCTCTCTCACGTATCCTCTCTCTCTCACTCTCTCTCTCTCTCTCTCTCTTTCTCTGATGTAACCCTTCTTGATGTTCTAGTGTCCTCTTTTCCACCTACACACACGCGTTTCCATCCCTAACCGCATCTCTATCTCTTGCCCTCTTACTTTTGCTCTCTCTTTTATTCCGTTGCACTCATACTAACCAGCCTCGTGCCGACCACGCAATCCGATCCATTTCTCTCCCCCTGCTGTCTCCCTCTGCTCCGCGAGTACCAGCAACTAACCCCCTCTCTGCTTAACCCTCGCGGTTCCTCCCTCTCGCCCTGTCGTTTCTTCCGTCCACCCACCGTTTCTCCCCCCCCCTCCTCCTCCCCCGCCCCTATTTACTCCCCCTCTTGCTCTCTCATCACTGTGCCAGCTTCCATCCTTGCCCACCCATTTTCTCTCACTCTTTTCGGTTGGTAGAACCAGTGGCGTAGCCAGCAACGGGGATTTCCCTCTTCGCTGGAAGGGAAACGTTTCCATTCATCATAAGATACACCGCGTCGAATAACCGATATTCATCCGTAACCGATATATCTTGGGAGATATAATAGAGAAGGAAGAGTATATCTAAATGTCTAAAAGAGAGAGAGATACACAAGGTGAATCATACATTTGTCTGCCTTACGAAACCCAAGAAATATCATCGTGTCCCCTGACGTGGTGTATACGTGTATACGTGAAAGAGTTCACTTCAAGGGATGGAAAACGGCACATGTAGCTCGAGCTACACCACTGGTCAGCTGCGTGTATCTATTCGTCCATCTCTTTCGAGCTTCGAAAGTGCTCTCTTACCGCGGCCTTCCCTTTCCCCTTGTCCAGGCTGGTAGCAGAGCCACCCCCGCGCGCGTGGTGGTTCGCCCTTCCTGGTCGCCTCTCTGTCGGGCCGAAAAGCGTCGCTTTGAAGCAACGAGAGCGCGACTGGCACCCACACCAACTCCTCCCACCACCCACATCGCGTTGGTCGCCGGGCTTGCCACCCACCGATATACAGCCCGCTCGCTCCGCTCGCCGCGACGACCGCAGACACAAAAACAATAACAAATCGATTCGCGAGGGCAATGGGAAGGGGTCAACGAGAGGTAGGACGACGAAGAAGAGAGGCAGGGGGGAGGGAGAGCGGGAGGGTAGCTCTGTACGTATATCTCTCTCTGTCTCTTCGGCTTCTCCCTTCGTCCCACTCCGCTCTCTTTCCCTCTCGTTCCTCCCTCGTCCCTCTTTCTGGATATTGTATAGAGAACGTTATGCTAAAGTATGCATGCACGAGGGTCGGTCCAATGGTCAGGAATCTCGCGAGTTCGTTCTGCGGCAGCACGTATCCGGACGTATTTCTCTGTACCCCGTCCGTGCCTCGTGAGGCAGAGTCCGCGTGCACGTTACTCTCGCGTACCGCCGGTACTGCGTAACTTCCGGTCGACCGGCAGACCTCCAAGGATCGGCTGTGCTTCTTGATACATAGTAATAGAAAAGCCGGGGAGAAGCGTGCCCGGGGGATGATTTACCGTAATGACGATCGGCCTGAATTGCGGTAGGCCACCGGACGGGCATCCGTAAGAAGGAAATCTTTCATTATATAGCTCTCTCTCTCTCTCTCATTTTTTTAATTTTTCTTTCTTTCTTTCTTTCTTTCTTTATACCTTTTGCTCGATGTTGGACATTAAGTTGGATATATATACATACACACACGCACACGCACACGCACACGTAGCTGTTCGAGGATGTTTCTTCTTCTTTTTTGTTGCCAGTCTAATCAGCTTGTTTGCTCCACTCTCTCGATTCGTTTGGGCAATTGCTTCTACTTGTTTCTTTCTTTCCTCCTTTGTTTTTT